AAAAGGTAAAGGTACCCCTGCCCGTACGGGCCAGTCGTGTACGACTCTAGGGTTGTGCGCCCATCTCACTTAAGAGGCCGGGGGCCAGCGCTGTCCGCAGACACTTCCGGGTCACGTGGCTAGCGTGACGAAGCTGCTCTGGCGAGCCAGCACCAGCGCAGCACATGGAAACGACGTTCACCTTCCCGCTATAAAGCGGTACCTATTTATCTACTTGCACTTAGGGGTGCTTTCGAACTGCTAGGTGGGCAGGAGCTGGGACCGAAAGACGGGAGCTCACCCCATCGCGGGGATTCGAACCGCCGACCATACGATCGGCAAGTCCTAGGCACTGAGGTTTTACCCACAGCGCCACCCGCGTCCCTATTATGTAGGGATGCATTAAATTTATATACCTCCCTTCATCCAAAGATCTCAGGGCTGTTCACAAGATACAGGATAAAAGCACAAATAAATACAGTGGTACCTCGGGTTACATAAGCTTCAGGTTACAGACACTTCAGGTTACGGACTCCATTAACCCAGTAATAGTACCTCGGGTTAAGAACCTTGCTTCAGGATGAGAACAGAAATCATGCTCCAGCAGCGTGGTGGCAGCAGGAGGACCCATGAGCTAAAGTGGGTGCTTCAGGTTAAGAACAGTTTCAGGTTAAGAACAGACCTCCGGAACGAATTAAGTACTTAACCCAAGGTACCACTGTAGTTTAAACAAAAACAAAACAGAACACAACCCCTGCACAAAAATATTTAAAAGGCCATAGAATATTAACCAGCCAAAGGCCTGGTTGAAGAGGAGTGTTTTTGCCTGGTGCCTAAATGTGTATAATGAAGGCACCAGCCAAACCTCCCTGGGGAGAGCATTCCACAAACGGGGAGCCACTGCAGAAAAGGCCCTGTTCTTGTGTTGTCACCCTCTGGACCTCTCATGGAGGAGGCACACAAAGAAGGACCTCAGAGGATGATCTCAGGGTCCGGGAAGGTTCATATGAGGAGAGGTGGTCCTTGAGGTATTGGGGTCCGGAGCCATTTAAGGCTTTATAACAGGGATCAGCAAACCTTTTCAGCAGGGGGCCGGTCCACTGTCCCTCAGACCTTGTGGGGGGCCGGACTATATTTTGAAGGAAAAAAATGAACGAATTCCTATGCCCCACAAATAAGTCAGAGATACATTTTCAGTAAAAGCACACATTCTACTCATGTAAAAACACGCTGATTCCCAGACCGCCCATGGGCCAGATTTAGAAGGCGACTGGGCCGGATCCTGCCCCCAGGCCTTCGTTTGTCTACCCATGCTTTATAGGTCAGAACCAGCACTTTCCATTGGGCCCAGAAACTAATTGGCAGCAACTGCAGTTTGGCCAAGATCGGTGCAATATGCTCAAACCCTGTTGCAGTAATATACAGTAACTTAAAAATGTTACCAGAGCACAGACAACAGTACAGTATCTCCAATCCACACCACATAATCATAGAGTTGGAAGGTACCCCAGGGTCATCTAGTCCAACCCCCTTCAATGCAGAAATCTCAGCTGAAGCATCCATGACAGATGGCCACCCAACCACTGCTTAAAAACCACCAGGAAACAGAGTCCACAACCTCCCTAGGGAGACCATTCCACTGTTGACCAGCTCTTACTGGTATTTAGTTGAAATTTCTTTTCTTGTAACTTGAAGCCAATGGTTTGAATCCTACCCTCTAAAGTGGGATCAAACTAACTTGCATGTGACAGCCTTCTAGATATTTGAACATGGCTATCGTATCTTCTCCCAGTCACCTCTTTTTCAAGCTAAACCTACCCTGTTCCTTCAATCATTCCTCATAAGGCTTGGCTTCTTGACCCTTGATCATCTTGGCTGCCTTCCTCTGCACATGTTCCAGCCTATCAACACCCTCCTTAAATTGTGGTGCCCAGAATTGGACACAATATTCCTGCTGTGGTCTTACGAAGGTGGAATGGAGGGGTACTATTACTTCCCTTGATCTGAACACCCTACTTCTGTTGATGCAGCTGAGAATAGCATCCGCTTTTTTAGTTGCTGCATCACACTGTTGGCTCATGTTAAGCTTGTGGTCTCCTAAGACCCCTGGATCCTTTTTACTTGTCATAATAAAGAGTAAAGGAGGGCTCTCGCTTGCATGCCTCCCCAGTGCATCTGATTAGTTTATCTGGGACAGGGCTGATGCAGACCTTTGATCTGACCCAGTTGGACTTTTCTCCCATCTTCAAACCCAGCCACTTACCTGTTCCCTTCTGCATCAGCTTCAGTGTGTTCCATGTGCGCCCAGGTGGAAAGAAAGCCTCCCGAGGTTCATCTGGCCAGTTGCCCGACTGCTGGTACTGGTCAGTGTCTCCTAATGGCAACGCTTGGTATCCTGACCGGCTGAACATGTTCTGGTTAGCTCCCAAGTTACTGGTAGCTCTCTTAGTTTCCCCCCTTCACGTGCATTATAAAGAGCCCTGCATCCTTTAACTCTGCAAAGACAAAGCATCAGAGAAAGATGTCTGCATGCAGTTTCTGCTTGGAACATACCTCCTTGTTTTGACGCCTCTTTTGTTTGTACGAAATGCCCTGTTTTATGCTTTCAGAAATGCTTTTTGTACTGCTGTAAACATCAGCGCTCACACAGCCTGAACATTAGAAATAGAGGGAACGACTGCCCACTTATCCACAGGAAAAAGCTCCAACATGAGCGTTAAAGCCTGAGTTGTAGCCATGTCAACAAGAAATCTCAAATCTTCACCCCCTCTTCTTTCGGATTTTCTGCCCCTGAGCAATCAGCAATTGCACTGTGTTCAAGAAATCACACACTGGCACTATGAATGCATTTTGCACCTCAGCTGAAATCGTTTTGCATTAGAAGCACATTTGCACTCAACACTTTTTCTCTGGTCACAGGAGAGCAGATGTTGCTTCTCTTCTCCTGTTTGATCAGTTACACTGGACAAGTGACACAAACAATAAGCAGAGGAAGGAGGCTGGCATGTGAGTGCTTTTTAATTCCAGGGAGCTGCAAGACTTACTCCCTCTGCCATCAGGAGGACTTTAATGCATTAAGGGGCCAGCAACCTTTTTCAGCCGTTGTCCCTCAGACCTTGTGGGGGGCCGGACTATATTTTTTTTGGGGGGGGAAATGAACAAATTCCTATGCCCCACAAATAACCCAGAGGTGCATTTTAAATAAAAGCACATATTCTACTCATGTAAAGGTAAAGGTAAAGGTACCCCTGCCCGTACGGGCCAGTCTTGCCGGACTCTAGGGTTGTGCGCTCATCTCACTCTATAGGCCGGGGGCCAGCGCTGTCTGGAGACACTTCCGGGTCACATGGCCAGCGTGACAAGCTGCATCTGGCGAGCCAGCGCAGGACACGGAACGCTGTTTACCTTCCCGCTGGTAAGCGGTCCCTATTTATCTACTTGCACCCGGGGGTGCTTTCGAACTGCTAGGTTGGCAGGCGCTGGGACCGAGCAACAGGAGCTCACCCCGCCGTGGGGATTCGAACCGCTGACCATGCGATCGGCAAGTCCTAGGCGCTGAGATTTTACCTGCAGCGCCACCCGCGTCCCCCTCTACTCATGTAAAAACATGCTAATTCCAATTGAGAAGGTGACTGGGCCGCATCCGGCCCCCAGGGCCTTAGTTTGCCTACCCCTGCATTAAGAGCCTGTGGGAAGCACATGGGTTTCTAAAGCCCGATGCTGACTTTTGAAATCTCAGTGTCTCCTTGCAAGCTTCTGCCGACAAGCTATGAAAGGCATCAGAGTCAAAGAGCTGTAGGATGGGAAGGGATCTCAGGGGGTCATCTAGCCCAACCCCCTTCTGGCGCAGGAAAAACAGCACAGAGATCATTGTGTATCAGTAGCCTGGCCTGGGTTCCAGACATGCTAGATGAATCCCAAGCTGGAATTAAGATTGTTGGAAGAAATATCAACAACCTCAGATATGCAGATGACACAACCTTGATGGCAGAAAGTGAGGAGGAATTAAAGAACCTTTTCATGAGGGTGAAAGAGGAGAGCGCAAAATATGGTCTGAAACGAAGATCATGACCACTGGTCCCATCACCTCCTGGCAAATAGAAGGGGAAGAAATAGAGGCAGTGGGAGATTTTGCTTTCTTGGGCTCCATGATCACTGCAGATGGTGACAGCAGTCACGAAATTGAAAGACGCCTGTTTCTTGGGAGGAAAGCAATGACAAACCTAGACAGCATCTTAAAAAGCAGAGACATCACCTTGCCAACAAAGGTACGTATAGTTAAAGCTATGGTTTTCTCAGTAGTGATGTATGGAAGTGAGAGCTGGACCATAAAGAAGGCTGATCGCTGAAGAATGGATGCTTTTGAATTCTGGTGCTGGAGAAGACTCTTGAGAGTCCCATGGACTGCAAGAAGATCATACCTCTCTGTTCTTAAGGAAATCAGCACTGAGTGCTCACTGGAAGGACAGATCCTGAAGCTGAGGCTCCAAGACTTTGGCCGCCTCATGAGAAGAGAAGACTCCCTGGAAAAGACCCTGATGTTGGGAAAGATGGAGGGCACAAGGAGAAGGGGACGCGAGAGGACGAGATGGTTGGACAGTGTTCTCGAAGCTACCAGCATGAGTTTGACCAAACTGCGGGAGGCAGTGGAAGACAGGAGGGCCTGGCGTCCAGGGGGTCACGAAGAGTCGGACATGACTAAAGGAATAAACAACAACAAACAACCCTAAAGCTACAGTGCAGCGTTTCTAAAGCAAACCTGAGGCACCCACTTTCTGATTCCGGGCTCCTCTGCAGTTTACCCTTCCCTAACTTCCCCACCAGCCCTTAAACTACAGTAGCCAGAATCCTTCGCGATGAAAAAAATATATGCTTTAAAGCCATCGCATGTACACACAGCCTTGTAGCGGCGGCGCCGGACTCTGCGCTGCACGGGCTTGTCGTTGCAACAGCCGCTCCCTGGGATGCTATGCAAGTCCTGCCGGACGCAGCGCGGCCTTTCCTATTTGTTACTCCCGGGTAAATGCATGCACGGGACCGGAGAAGCCTCGAGCTTGGCCCCGAGAAAGCACCTGAAGCGGCGCGAAGAACCCCCGGGATCCGGATGCCGTTGCAGGCGGGCCGGGCCAGCGCTGCTCCTCCCTCCCGGAGGGCCCTCCTTTCCCGGCAGCCCCGCGCTGCTTCCTCCGCCGCCTCCTCGCAGGGACAAAGCGAAAGTGAACCCAGACGCCTCGCAGCCGCCGCCGCCATCCCCAGTCGCGGTTGCTGCTTCGCGATCCGGACACCGCTGCAGGTCGCGCCTTTCAGCTGAGTTCCTTTGAATTGTGTGCGTGGCTGTGTTTTATTTATGCATTAACTTTTATTTGTTTATGCATTAACTTTTATTTATGCATTGCGTCGATACGCCACGTCTTGACTCTCCGGGGAGCGCAAGGGGGCGTGCATGGTCCCCCCCGCCCCCATTTCACCCCCACAACAACCGTGTGAGGTCGGTTGGACTGAAAGAAGGAGGGACTGGCTCCCAAGGTCACCCGGGGGGGGGGCGGAGAAAGGATTTGAACCCTAGAATCGTAGAGGCGGGAGGGACCCTGAGGGTCATCTAGTCCAACCCCCTGTGATGTCCTGATCTCTCCGACCCTCTAGATTCCTTTCCCTCCTCCGAAGAATCGGGGTGGGGTGGGGGGGCTTGGCTTGGCTGAATTTGCGGGGCCTGCGTAACTCAACACCCTCCTATATTGCGAAAGCGCCTGGCCGGGGGGGGGGGGCTCTGTGCCCGGAGATGGGGGGCGGGGTGGATCTTGCCCGCTGTGCCAGCCCCTCCCATGCACACACACTTTATCTGCTTTTTCTGGATGCAACAGCCTCTTAATGTGCAGCTGGGTGATGCCTCCTATAGATCGGGGGGGGGGGGGGGAGGACATCTTTGGGCACCCTGGCGCTGTTGGACTACAGTTCCCATTAGCCCCTGCCAGTGTGGACAAGGGTCAGGAAGGAGGGAATCCTCCAAAAGCAGGGGTCAGCAAACTTTTTCAGCAGGGGGCCGGTCCACTGCCCCTCAGACCTTGTGGGGGGGCCGGACTATATTTTGGGGAGGAGAAATGAACGAATTCCTATGCCCCACAAATAACCCAGAGATGCATTTTAAATAAAAGCGCTAATTCTACTCATGTAAAAACATGCTGGTTCCCGGACCGTCCGCAGGCTGGATTTAGAAGGCGATTGGGCCAGATCCGGCCCTCGGGCCTTAGTTTGCCTACCCATGTCCAAAAGGATATTGTAAAGATTCCGAAAAGGCCACCAAAATGACCAGGGGGCCGGAGTGGCGCCCTAGTGAAACCTTTGGCTCATCTCCTGCTTGCAGGTTCCCACAGGCAACTGTTCAGACGCTAAGAGAACAGGATCCTGGACTCAATGGGCCACTGGTCTCATCCAGCTGCCTCTTCCCCTGCTCTTAGGAATTGTCATACACGTGTGTGCCTCTCTTCAAGTGACGGGGTGCCTGACTTCACTTACTCTGAATTGTGGTATGCAAAGACCCTTTCCCACAGTTGAGCCCCCCCTGACCGGACGTCTGCCCCACAGGACGGCTCGAAGAGCAATGTATAGGGCAGGTTCCTGGGGCTGGGGGGTCCTGTGGCCCTCCCAGTGTTCTTGGACTACTCTGTGCACACCCACCATTCCCGGAGCACCAGCCATGATGTCCTGGGCCCAGGGGAAATGGAGGCTGACAAGATCTGGAGGGCCACAGCTTCCTGGTTTGTATTCATACATCAGTCCATCAATCTTGTTTCTCAGTTCTTTCATCTCCTCCTCCTCCTCTTCCATTTCATTAGAAATGCAGCTGTATTAACATCCCACTTTTCCAGGTTCCATTCAGATTGCACACAGAGTCTATCCTTTTTCATCTGCGCCTCCACTCCTGGTTTCCCTTTTGTTTTTCCAAAATCAAAGCTCCAGTATTTGGCACCTCTGTTCCTTCAAGCCTTTGCACACCGATTGGCAACTCTGCCATTGCGTTCTGTCTTCTTAAAAGCCACCCATAGTTCCATAGTTTAACTGCGCTGCCTTAAGAAGGACTTTCTTTGATCTGCCCAGAATCTTCCAAAATTGAGCTTTGTCCACAAGATCCAGACTTATGACAGAGGGAGAAAAATCTTTCTCTGTCACTGTGCATCGTTTTATAAACGCCCATCACATTGCGTCTTACTTGGCTGTGAGCCACCCTGTTGGTGCAGCTGAGATAGGGCGCTAGTCCATGTTGACAGATTCCCTGGTTCGTGTGTGTGTGTGTGTGTGTGTGTGTGAGAGAGAGAGAGAGAGAGAGAGAGAAGCAATTCTGAACTCTAACCCTTTCTGCTGCTGGGTGACCTTGGAAGTCTCTCAGCCCCACTCCCCTCATTTCCATAGACAGACCAGATTCTGATAACCCGGTTCACACTTTTAAAGACAGAAAGTCTGTAATTAAACCCAGATACACATTCCCAGCATTCTAGAGCTTTTGGCTCTCCCATAATGCTCTTTTTCTGCATGAGCCAAAGTTTTAACCTGCTAAGATTTCCCAGTATCACTGCAGCAGTAGTCTTGTAATCTGAGGCACCGGGTTCTCATCTCTGCTCCTCCACATGCAGCTGCTGGGTAACCTTGGGCTAGTCACACCCACTCACCTCACAGAGTGTTTGTTGTGGGGGAGGAAGGGAATAGGAGAATGTTAGCCGCTTGGAGACTCCTTTGGGTAGTGATAAAGCGGGATATCAAATCCAAACCTCCTCCTCCTTCTTCATCCACTAATCATTTTTCAATTTATTTATTTTTTGCAGGCGATGGAGGAAGAATTTGAGTTCCTGCTGTGCGGGAGGTGCCAGAGAGAGGCCCCGAACCCCAAGCTCCTGGCCTGCCTTCACACCGTCTGCATGGAGTGCCTGGAAGAGAACAAGCCCGTGGGCCAGTGTCCTGTCTGCCGGTTTTCCTTCGCACGGACCAGCGGGGTCCCCTTCCAAGATAACGTGCTCTTTTCAAGCCTCCAGGCCAAGCTGAACACCTACCGGAAGATTGCCGGTGACAGGGATTTGGTGTGCGATAACTGCAAAGATGCGGCTGAGTTCTGGTGCTCTGAGTGCTCCGAGTTCCTCTGCCTGAAATGCTACAAGTCTCACCAGTGGTACTTGAAGCAGAAGAGCCACGAGACCCAGAAACTGGCCGATCTGAAGAAGGATACTGCCCAGAGTTTCCTGGAGGGGGCAAAGAAGTCTAGCAACCTTTTATGTTCGGAGCACACCCAAGTTATAAGGTAATGCTACTGGGGTGGGGATGCATAGTTTGCAGGAAGCTACCAGGCCACTATGAGCCAGTGTGGTGTAGTGGTTAAGAGCGGTGGACTCATAATCTGGTGAACCGGGTTTGATTCCCCGCTCCTCTACATGCAGCTGCTGGGTGACCTTGGGCTAGTCACACTTCTCTGAAGGGATGTGGGTGGCGCTGTGGGTTAAACCACAGAGCCTAGGACTTGCCGATCAGAAGGTTGGCGGTTCGAATCCCCGCAACGGGGTGAGCTCCCGTTGCTCGGTCCCTACTCCTGCCAACCTAGCAGTTCGAAAGCACAAAAGTACAAGTAGATAAACAGGTTCCGCTCCGGCGGGAAGGTAAATGGCGTTTCCGTGCGCTGCTCTGGTTCGCCAGAAGCGGCTTAGTCATGCTGGCCACATGACCTGGAAGCTGTACGCCGGCTCCCTCGGCCAATAAAGCGAGATGAGCGCCGCAACCCCAGAGTCGGTCACGACTGGACCTAATGGTCAGGGGTCCCTTTACCTTTACCTTTACGTTTACCAGGCCACTGCCTGTGAAGGGGGAGAGGGAATACAGGCCCTCATCTGGGCTGTGCCCCACTCATATGGCACACATGCAACTTCATTTTGCATTGCCAGCCATCTGGGACCCCACGCTCAGCAGGCGAGGCCTGGGTGGGGGACAGGGGAAGAGGGCCTTTTCGGTAGTGGCTTCTCCCAGGCAACTTTGGAACACCCTCCCTGGAGAAGCCAGACTGGTGCCTTCATTGTAGGCCTTCCGCTGGCAGCTGGATACCTTTCTTACTCCAACAGGCCTTTGGGAATGGACTGCTTTTTAAGGAAAGGGCTTTTAATAGCGCTGTGCTGTTTTTATTATCTGTATTTTAATAGCTTTGTTTTTTATACAGTTTTCATTTTTCAAGAGTTTAATCACTTTTAAACATTACCTTTCTGTTTTTTGTCCATGCTTGTTCTAAGTTTCGTGAGCTGCCTTGAATCCTACTTGTGGGGGAAAGGCACAATATTATGATCGTTGTTATTACCAACAGTAAATTGATGTTTACAGTTTAAATGCAGTGCTTACAGTTTATACTTACGGTTTAATTAGTACTTTCATTTAAATGCATGTTGTTTTTAAATCTGGAAAAAATTGGATGGAATAGTCCTGTGCTCCAAGCACATGGAAAACTGATACAGTGGTACCTCGGGTTAAGTACTTTATTGGTTCTGGAGGTCCGTTCTTAACCTGAAACTGTTCTTAACCTGAAGCACCACTTTAGCTAATGGGGCCTCCTGCTGCTGCTGCGCCGCCGGAGCACGATTTCTGTTCTCATCCTGAAGCAAAGTTCTTAACCCGAGGTACCATTTCTGGGTTAGCGGAGTCTGTAACCTGAAGCGTATGTAACCTGAGGTACCACTGTATTGGGGAGAAACAGGTTGATCTGTCCCTCCATAACTTTCCACTTCCTTCCCCTTCTGTTTTCATATTCCTTTCTTCCCAGTGTTCTCCCTCCTTCCCCTTCCAGAGAGAAACTGATAGCACAAAGCCTGGTGTTGCTTATCTATCTATCTATCATCTATCTATTATTACACTTATACAGTGGTACCTCGGGTTACATACGCTTCAGGTTACAGACTCCACTTCAGGATGAGAACAGAAATCGTGCTCCGGCGGCGTGGCAGCAGCAGGAGGCCCCATTAGCTAACGTGGTGCTTCAGGTTAAGAACAGTTTCAGGTTAAGAACGGACCTCCGGAATGAATTAAGTTCTTAACCCGAGGTACCACTGTACCTGTTCTCCAAGGAATTCTGCTCAGTGAGGGAAGTGAGCCTTAGAGATGGTGACAGGACCAAGGCCGCCCAGGGGGCTTCGTAGCTGAGTGGGGATTTAAACTTGGGTCTCCTAGGTCCTAGGCCAGCACTCTAACCACTGTGCCACACTACCTTCCTGTTTAAGACTCTAAGGAAAGCCTCCTGGATCAAGCCAATGGCCCATTCACTGTAGTCCAGTCTCTTTTTCTTGCTGCGGCCATTCATTCATTCATTCCTTGAACATTGCATTTACGTCGACAGCATCTACTGCCGCGGGTGCCGCAAGCCCCTGTGCTGCTCCTGCGCTCTGCTCGACGGTGAGCACTACAATGCCAAGCTGTACTGCGACATCCGCGCGGAAATTGAAGGCAGGAAGGAGGAGCTGGGCAGGATAAAGGCGGAGCTTGGCGAGAAGAGGAGGAGCTACGAGAAGACGTACAGCGCCGTCCACGAACGGCTGCAGCAGCTGGAGAAGGTGCGCAAGGAGACCCGAGAGGAGATCCAGGAGAAGGTGGAGGAGATGGTCCAGTGGATCCAGAGTAAGGGGGAGGAGCTCCTGGCGAAGGTGGACAGCCAGCTCCACCAGGAGCGCGAGGACGTGCAGAGGAAGCTGCAGTGCGCCGAGCGCATCGTCAAGAGGTTTGCTTCGTTTTTATTTGATTTAATGTTTGTGCAGCCCGTTTGCCTCTTACGTGGGGGTTTGGGTCCAAGGGTTCTGCATATGTGCAAAAATGCCCATGCCCAGGTCCTTGGAGCTGCCATTTTTCTATTAGGCCAATTTCAAGGCGATACTCTCAGTATATAAAGCCCTTTTTTATTGTATGTTTTTATTAAGAATTCCAACATAACAATTTTAACAGAAATACATCATTCACATTATTCCCCCCCCCCAAAAGAGAAAAAAGAATTTTATCTGCATGTTGTAAAGATCCTCAGTTTATCTATCTATATATTACCGATAAAGAGTTTGTGAATGTTTATTCAAAACCTGCCAAGGAGTCCAGTTCATTTTGTTGTTTCTTCAAATACTTCGTAAAAGGTTCCCATTCATCTTTAAAGTCACAGTTATCCTTGTCACATAGTTTGTGTGTCAATTTTGCCAATTCCGCACAGTCCATCAATTTTTTTTGCCACAGTTCTTTAGCCAGGATTTCCTCATTCTTCCATCCTTGTGCTATTAAGACCCTTGCCGCCGTTGTCGCATACATGAAAATGTTTTTTAATTTCTTTGGCAGGTCTTTCTCCACAATCCCTAACAAGAAAGCTTCAGGCTTTTCCACAAATTTTAAATGGAACATTTTCTTCAACTCATCATATATCATTTCCCAAAATTTTTAAATTTTGCTACAATCCCACCACATATGATACAGCAGTATATAAAGCCCTTAACAACTTGAGACCAAACAAAAAAATTCCTTCCAGTAGCACCTTAAAGACCAACTAAGTTAGTTCTTGGTATGAGCTTTCGTGTGCATGCACACTTCTTCAGATACCCTTCTTCAGATACCCTTCTTCAGATACACACTTCTTCAGATACACACTTCTTCAGATACACACTTCTTCAGTTACACACTTCTTCAGATACACACTTCTTCAGATACATACTTCTTCAGATACACACTTCTTCAGATACACACTTCTTCAGATACACACTTCTTCAGATACACACTTCTTCAGATACACACTTCTTCAGTTACACACTTCTTCAGATACACACTTCTTCAGATACACACTTCTTCAGATACACACTTCTTCAGATACATACTTCTTCAGATACACACTTCTTCAGATACACACTTCTTCAGATACATACTTCTTCAGATACACACTTCTTCAGATACACACTTCTTCAGATACCCTTCTTCAGATACCCTTCTTCAGATACACACTTCTTCAGATACACACTTCTTCAGATACACACTTCTTCAGATACACACTTCTTCAGATACATACTTCTTCAGTTACACACTTCTTCAGATACACACTTCTTCAGATACATACTTCTTCAGATACACACTTCTTCAGATACACACTTCTTCAGATACCCTTCTTCAGATACCCTTCTTCAGATACACACTTCTTCAGATACACACTTCTTCAGATACACACTTCTTCAGATACACACTTCTTCAGTTACACACTTCTTCAGATACACACTTCTTCAGATACATACTTCTTCAGATACACACTTCTTCAGATACACACTTCTTCAGATACATACTTCTTCAGATACACACTTCTTCAGATACACACTTCTTCAGTTACACACTTCTTCAGATACACACTTCTTCAGATACCCTTCTTCAGATACCCTTCTTCAGATACACACTTCTTCAGATACACACTTCTTCAGTTACACACTTCTTCAGATACACACTTCTTCAGATACATACTTCTTTCAGATACACACTTCTTCAGATACATACTTCTTCAGATACACACTTCTTCAGATACACACTTCTTCAGATACCCTTCTTCAGATACCCTTCTTCAGATACACACTTCTTCAGATACACACTTCTTCAGATACACACTTCTTCAGATACACACTTCTTCAGATACACACTTCTTCAGATACCCTTCTTCAGATACCCTTCTTCAGATACACACTTCTTCAGATACACACTTCTTCAGATACATACTTCTTCAGATACACACTTCTTCAGATACACACTTCTTCAGATACATACTTCTTCAGATACACACTTCTTCAGATACACACTTCTTCAGATACCCTTCTTCAGATACCCTTCTTCAGATACACACTTCTTCAGATACACACTTCTTCAGATACACACTTCTTCAGATACACACTTCTTCAGTTACACACTTCTTCAGATACATACTTCTTCAGTTACACACTTCTTCAGATACACACTTCTTCAGATACATACTTCTTCAGATACACACTTCTTCAGATACACACTTCTTCAGATACATACTTCTTCAGATACACACTTCTTCAGATACACACTTCTTCAGATACCCTTCTTCAGATACCCTTCTTCAGATACACACTTCTTCAGATACACACTTCTTCAGATACATACTTCTTCAGATACACACTTCTTCAGATACACACTTCTTCAGATACCCTTCTTCAGATACCCTTCTTCAGATACACACTTCTTCAGATACACACTTCTTCAGATACACACTTCTTCAGATACACACTTCTTCAGATACACACTTCTTCAGTTACACACTTCTTCAGATACACACTTCTTCAGATGTATCTGAAGAAGTGTGCATGCACACGAAAGCTCATACCAAGAACTAACTTAGTTGGTCTTTAAGGTGCTACTGGAAGGATTTTTTTTGTTTTGACTATGGCAGACCAACACGGCTACCTATCGGTAACTAGAGACCAGTTGGCCTACAAAATCTGCTTACCTGACGTATGTCCACTCCACTGATGGAATGAGCCCTGTTACAGATGCCCCATAATCTCCATTCCGCCTTTGTAAGGACTCGGTCATTTAGTGTGATGTCATGTACACTTTGGAACTCCCTGCCTAGTGAGACCATGCAGGTGTCTTCACTGTATTCCTTTCGGGGCCTGCTGAAAACATTCTTGTTTAGACCAGCCTACCTAGATTCTTAAAAAAGTTGAGGTAATTTTAATCGGTTTTAGTATTTTAAATTTTTGTATGTTTTAAAGCATTATTTTAAAGTTTTTATTTTATTTTATTGTTTTCTCTCTCTGTAAACCGCTTTGGGGGTGTTTTCTGTTTTTTGTTTACCAGTCAGGAGGTTTATAAATGTTATAAAATAAGTAATAATGATTTAAGAAACAGCAAAACAGTGTCATCGATATGAATGTTAAAACACAATAGCATTTAACTGAAGCAATGCACAGCAACAAATTGATCCGAGCAACCAAGACAGTTCCGTAAAGCGGTAATGATTCAGTGAGAAACCCAGCCAGGTGGGCAGGGTATAAATAATAAATTATTATTAAATGATTATAACCACGGCAGGTTGGAGTCCGGCGAGCGGCTGGTGGAGAAGATGAACCTCTTTGCTTCGGACCAGGAGGTGTTGGACATGGCCCCCTTCGTCAAGGAGTCCTTGGACGATCTCCGCAAGGAGAAGGTGCTGGCTGTGGGTTTCCGGGTCCAGGCGGATAACATCTCGGAGGTCAGAGGTGAACTCCAGGCCCTGTTTAACAGGGTGAGAGGCTGCGAAGGTGAGGCACTTCCTGCAATCCTGCTCTCTTCGCCCCTCCCTTGCCAGGGGGCCCTGCTGGCTTCTTTGGCAGGAAAAAGCTTTGGCCTTCGATTGCTGTAATTCTCTGTCACCCTGTCCCGCTGGTTGTGAGAATGAATGTGTATCGCAGGGCACATTGGCCATTGAACCTTGGTTGTTGTTGTTGTTGTTTAGTCATGTCTGACTCTTCGTGACCACCTGGACCAGAGCACGCCAGGCACTCCTGTCTTCCACTGCCTCCCACAGTTTGGTCAGACTCATGCTGGTAGCTTCGAGAACACTGTCCAACCATCTCATCCTCTGTCGTCCCCTTCTCCTTGTGCCCTCCATCTTTCCCAACATCAGGGTCTTTTCCAGGGAGTCTTCTATTCTTATGAGGTGGCCCAAGTATTGGAGCCTTAGCTTCAGGATCTGTCCTTCCAGTGAGCACTCAGGGCTGATTTCTTTCAGAATGGAGAGGTTTGATCTTCTTGCAGTCCATGGGACTCTCAAGAGTCTCCTCCAGCACCATAATTCAAAAGCATGAACCTTGGTTAGTCTTGTCTATTAACGCCAATGGGTCTACTATGAGTAGGACTAGCACTGAATGCACCAGAAGGGGATAAAGCTATCAATGGCTGCTAGCCATAGGGGCTCTGTTGTGCCCCCACCGTCAGAGGTGCCTTTCTTCTGCATGCCAGTAGCTGCAGAGGCACAAGGGGGCAAGGAGAGGGCTCTTGTATTGAATCCTGCTTGCAGCCTTCCTGGAGACATCCTATTGGCTGCTGTGCAACCAGGAGGCTGGACTAGGTGGGCCACTGGCCTGATTCAGCAGGCTCTCTTTTGGTCCTTACGGCTAGCGGTCAAGGATGGTGAGAGCTGGACTCCAGCCGCAGCTGGAAGATTACAAGCTCTCCACCCTGGGCCTGTGGTCCTCCTTTGCTGACTTGAGCTCTGTGCAAAGATAGATAGATAGATAGATAAACTTTATTCGCATTAGCCAATGGCCATAGCAACACAAAACAAGCAATATATACAATTAAAAAGACAACAAGGGGTAAAAAGGGCAATCAAATGACCAAGATTATCGCTCAGATAGTGGCCCTTAATCTCACTGCACCCTTGATAAACCTAGCAACCTTTGCTGTTGTCTGTTCATTTTGATTTGATAACAGAAAGAACAATGTGGCCGCAGATGGGCGGCCTGGGATGGTAAGGAAGAGTGGGGTGATGATCTCATTCCTCAGATCTTTATAAAGGGGACAGACAGGACAGGAGAACATGAGCCACTGTTTCCAGATTGCCCTCTCCACAGGGGCAGAGTCGTTTCTCAGTTGGAATCTTCTGATATCTGCCCTCAAGTATGGCAGAGGGTAGAGGGACACGGGTGGCACTGTGGGTTAAACCACAGAGCTAGGACCTGCCGATCAGAAGGTTGCCGGTTCGAATCCCCGCAATGGGTTGAGCTCCCATTGCTCAGTCCCTGCTCCTGCCAACCTAGCAATTCAAAAGCACGTCAAAGTGCAAGTAGATAAATAGGTACCGCTGTGGCGGGAAGGTAAACGGCATTTCCGTGCGCTGCTCTGGTTTGCCAGAAGCGGCTTAGTCATGCTGGCCACATGACCCGGAAACTGTACGCCGGCTCCCTCGGCCAATAAAGCGAGATGAGCGTCGCAACCCCAGAGTCGGCCACGACTGGACCTAATGGTCAGGGGGCCCTTTACCTTTATGGCAGAGGGCATCACATCCAATCTGGCCAGTGTGAAGGCACCTCTATATTTTGGGATAGTTAATTTATACAAATATGGTGCCAGGGAATCAAACTGAGAAGGGGGAAAAAGGCATACCAAGGACAGAGTTTCTTTATAATGGCCAGATTGTTCTGTTGCTCCAAGTCCTTCAGACACTGTCCAATCAGCCTTTTTGCTTTAATAAAGCCCATCGTGAGAAGCTGATGTGGGTGGAGTCTGCAGGAGAGGAATTTTTGGTGCACAATTTTAGACCACGTACTTTTATGAGCTCTGCTTAGACTCTGGTGCTGAACAGCTGAGTCCATTCCGACTGAGCTAAGAGAGAGACTAGGACCTGGGAGAGATCAGGGTTCGAATCTCCACTCAGCCATGAAGCTCACTGCATGTGACCTGGGGCCAGTCACTCGCTCTCAGGCTATCCTACCTCACAGAGTTGTTGGGATTAAATGAGGAGCGCGGGAGAGTCATGACCTCCATGAAGAAAAAGGTGGTATAATATGGGGAAAATGAAGTGCAATGAGTCCCTCCAGAAACCTCTTGGGCAGGGGCCTCATCCAAACACGTTGGAACACTCTGCCCTCTTTCCTTTCTTGCAGATGCTGTCGGCTGCCTGCCTTCTGTTTCTCGGCCAGTTGCCCCAGCGGTCAGTTCGGTAAGCTGTGATAGGAAACGTGGAAGTGGACGCAGAGAAACAGGGAGCTGAGAGGGGAACAAAATGTAGAAAGTACCAAGACAGTGGAAATTAGCAGTGGCCGTTCATGAAACAGTTGCTGTTGAGAACACAGACATTCTGGCACTGGTAACATGTGGTAGGATAAAAAAATAAATAAAAATCATTCCCTGAGTTCAGTGCACAAGCAATAGGGCTGAACCTCTTGATGTATTGTAATTTAGCAGTTTCATATCGCTGCAAATTTCCTTTTTTCTGGTATGAACACTTTAAGGACACACCTCTTGAAAATAAAACAGAAGAATGTAAGGTTAGTTGGTATGTGAGATGACAGTTTGCCCGGGAGAACGATGTGCTTGTTCTGTTTCTTGAAGCACAGGGTCAGCCTGTTTTCTTGGTCTCCAAGGTTCACTGTCAGACGCCCCCTAAGTGTTACAGCGCTTTAAAAATTCTGCCTTTGTCACTTTTGCGTCCAGAAAGGTCTTCATAATGAGAAAAGCCAGCCAAGGAGCCAGGCGCCCACGTACACCCTCAGTCTCAGAAAGACACCTCATGGATTTGTAAGTTCTATGCTGCTCATAACAGTTTTGTGTCTTCTGTTCTTTTGATTCTTCTCTCTCTTCCCTGACAGGCTGCCCCAGCTCCTTCTGAGCTGATGGGCGCTGTACTTTCAGCCAAGGGAAGATCATAAAGTTGTAGAGCTGGAAGGGGACCCCCAAGAGACATTTAGCCCACCCCTCTGCAATGCAGGAATCACAGCTAAAGGATCCCTGAGTTGTGAATTACTATTATTATTAAGAATGATTTCCCTCGTTGCCATTACTAGCAGCCCAAAAGTGTGGTATCAGGGTGGTAAAGGTAAAGGTACCCCTGACCATTAGGTCCAGTCGTGGCCAGCTCTGGGGTTGCGGCACTCATCTCGCTTTACTGGCCGAGGGAGCCGGCGTACAGCTTCTGGGTCATGTGGCCAGCATGACTAAGCCGCTTCTGGCAAACCAGAGAAGCGCACAGAAACGCCGTTTACCTTCCCGCCGGAGCGGTGCCTATTTATCTACTTGCACTTTGATGTCCTTTCGAACTACTAGGTTGGCAGGAGCAGGTACTGAGCATCGGGAGCTCACCCTGTCGCAACAGGAACTCATCCATCACGGGGATTCGAACCACCGACCTTCTGATCGGCAAGCCCTAGGCTCTGTGGTTTAGACCACAGCGCCACCTGTGTGTTACTTCATGTCATTTACAAAGCAAGCAAACATTATGTAATAAAAGAAAATGGTTACCCACCAATACCAATTGAGGCATCCATATTTCCCTGTGGATGAGGGTATGGAGGGTATCTTTAAGTATCTTAAATCTGAAGCTCAAGAAATAAAATCCCACCAGGCGTCATAAAAAGAGTTTTGGAAACACACAGCTCGTCTGCCGTTTTTTCCGCAGTCGCCCAAGCGCACAACTTCTTACGTTGCACAAATGCAGATTTCCTGAGGTTCTCCAATGGATTTACTATTGATAATAATTTATTATCAATTTATTGTGAATAAAAATAGCTGGTTCTCGTTTTTAAATTTGTGTTACTCTTGCTTTTTAGGTCTCCTCGATCAGCTGCCCAGTGAAACGGCTGATGGGACAGACGGAAAAGTCCATTCAGGCTTCTCCCAAGGCGATGAAGTTGGAGGACCGCTACCATGACAACGGGCAGAGCTCCAAGATGCAGGTCCATTACCATGACGACGGGCAGAACTCCGAGATGCATGTCCAGGATGTTGGGCTGAGTTCCTGGTCCCCTTCCCCCCGCGAGTCGACCCCAGAGAGGGAGCAGTGTGGGGCGGTCAACGCGGTGGAGCTCCTGGAGAATTCTGTGCACGAGATCTGTGAATCGGGTAACGTCCCATCTTGCCCGGCCTCCTCTGCTCACCAGATGCCCCTTGTGGCAAGGGTTAAATAAGTTGGAGTTCTTGTTATTAAATATACCAAGAAAAAAGCACACCAAGAACTCAGGCCAATGTAAGTTTCAGTGGTGGGAGTGGTCCCTACTCACAAATCAATAGTCAATTTTAACAAAAACTGATCCATTCAAAAGTATGTATTCTGACAAGGATTACAAACTCAAATAGAGTATACAAACTCAAACTCATAAAGCTATGTACAACACAATAATTTGTTACAGAATTAGGGATAAGAGTTTATGAGTAGAGACAAGTTCATGTTACTCCATCGTCAGATTCGACGAGAAATGTAGAAATAACAGGATACATTTATCTGAAGGTCTTCAAACTTACACGACCCTTTAAAAATTATCTGATGAAGGTGTATACATTGGAACAGGGGCCCGTCCTGGTTTCTGATCTATAATTGACTTCTGACTTCTGCTCAATGAATGAAACTAAGACTTTCATGTCGAATCTGACTATGGACTAACATGAACTGGTCTCTGCTCATAAACTCTTATCCCTAATTCTGTAACGAATTATTGTGTTATACTAATCCTTATGAGTTTGAGTTTGTAATTTATGTTAGAGGTTGTAATCTCTATTGAGTTTGTAATCCTTGCCAGAATACATACTTTTGAATGGATTAGTTTTTGTTACTATTGACTGTTGATTTGCGAGGAGGGACCATTCCCACTACTGAAACTTACATTGGCCAGAGTTCTTGGTGTGCTTTTTTCCTTGTGGGAAGGGAGCAAGCAGGACCCCTGAGCACAAGAGCAGCTTTCTCAGCTCCTGCCGTCTCCAACAAGGGGGGGGGGGCAGAGCAGAGCCCCGCTGGCTAGGAAGGAGTTCCACGGTTTATGTGCTCTGAGGTGTGGGTGACACATTGTTTGCCCTCCATCTGCTTGCAGAGGTCGCCAGCATCCTGATCAGCAGCTCCGAGGACACTGAAGACGACATGATGGTGAGTAGGCCAGAGACCACCCAGCAGGCTCCGTGGAAAGGAAAGCTCCAGCCTGCACATTTCAAGAGGTCCCGTGACTCCCGGGGTGACAGGAGTTAGAGGAGGCGAGTGGCATCCTCTTCTCTGGTCTTCTCTGCAGGGTTCCAGATAGGCAGCTGTGCCCTCTCCCAGGCTACTCCAGTCCGTCTGTTTTTGGGTCCCCCTCTTTCCCTGGACACTCAGCATTGCATTCTCCCCCCCCCCCAATTCCTGCAAACCTTGAGGTTCCTTCAAGCCTGCTGATTTCTCTCACGCCCTTTGTACATTGAGGGTCCATTGATGGCCACAGAACGACGGGAACGACATAAAGATGGCCATCCAGCCTCTCCTTAAAAGCCTCCCGTAAGGAAGAAGAGCCCACCACCTTGCAAGGTCATAGAATCATTCATCATCATCATCATCATCATCATCATCATCATTTATTACCCGCCCATCTGGCTGAGTTTCCCCAGCCACTCTGGGCAGCTCCCAATCGAGTGTTAAAAACAATACAGCATTAAATATTAAAAACTTCCCTAAACAGGGCTGCCTTCGGATGTCTTTTAAAAATAGGAAGGCTGCTTATTTCCTTGAAATCTGATGGGAGGGCGTTCCACAGGGTGGGCGCCACTACAGTGGTGCCCCGCAAGACGAATGCCTCACAAGACGAAAAACTCGCTAGACGAAAGGGTTTTCCGTTTTTTGAGTCGTTCCGCAAGACGAATTTCCCTATGGGCTTGCTTTGCAGGACGAAACGTCTTGCGAGTTCTTGCGAGTTTGTTTCCTTTTTCTTAAAGCCGCTAAGCCGTTAATAGCCGCTAAGCCGCTAAAAAACCGCAAGACGAAGAGACTCGCGGAATGGATTAATTTCGTCTTGCGAGGCACCACTGTACTGAGAAGGCCCTCTGCCTGGTTCCCTGTAACCCCACTTCTCGCAATGAGGGAACTGCCAGAAGGTCCTTGGAGCTGGACCTCAGCGTCTGGGCTGAACGATGGGGGTGGAGATGCTCCTTCAGGTATACAGGACTGAGGCCGTTTAGGGCTTTAAAGGTCAGCACCAACACTTTGAATTGTGCTTGGAAACGTACTGGGAGCCAATGAAGATCTTTCATGTTATATGGTCTCGGCGGCCACTCCCAGTCACCAGTCTAGCTGCCGCATTCTGGATTAATTGCAGTTTCCGGGTCACCTTCAAAGGTAGCCCCACGTAGAGCGCATTGCAGTAGTCCAAGCGGGAGATAACCAGAGCATGCACCACTCTGGCGAGACAGTCCGCGGACAGATAGGGTCTCAGCCTGCGTACCAGATGGAGCTGATAAACAGCTGCCCTGGACGTAGAACTGACCTGCGCCTCCATGGACAGCTGTGAGTCCAAAATGACTCCCAGGCTGTGCACCTGGTCCTTCAGGAGCACAGTTACCCCATTCAGGACCAGGGAATCCTCCACACCTGCCCGCCTCCTGTCCCCCAAGAACAGTACTTCTGTCTTGTCAGGATTCAACCTCAATCTGTTAGCCGCCATCCATCCTCCAACTGCCTCCAGGCACTCATTCATTAAATTTCTATACTGCCCTTCAACTGAGGATCACAGGGCGCTTTATAATATAAAAATATATGCCATAGTAGCAAACAAAAGCAACACCCATCCCCATCCCCCGGTTTTAAAGGCCATACATTGTTTAGTTAGCCAAAGGCCTGAGAGAAGAGTAATGTTTTTGCCTGGCCCCTAAAGAGTTGGAGGAGGCACCCAAGGAAGGTCCTCAGGAGAGGGTTGCAGGGTTCAGTTCACATGGGGAGAGGTCTTGCGGTAATAGACTAGTGGAAGGGACCCTGAGGGTCATCTAGTCCAGCCCCCCGCAATGCAGGGAGTGAGTTTGCTGGTGCTGCTAGGATGATGATGTTGCTGTCTCTCCCAGGCTCCTAACCTCCAGATCTGGTTGGACTCCCGTGTCCATCATTGGCCACGCTGCCAGGGAGCTGGAAGGCAGCAGACTGGGCCAGACTGGCAGCTGGGGCTCCTAGGAAGTAGAAAAGCAGGGAGATTAAGAGGAGATGGGAAAAAAGCATTTGGTTGCAGAGCGGGCTCCCCCCCTTCATTGAGTTAAGCATCGTGTCAGGCCGGTCCTTGAGAGCACAATGGAAAGGGGATCCATGTTGGAGCTTGTGAGAGCTCACCCACCATCACAAATCTGGGGTTTAAGTGCTGTTTTGAGCCCATGTTTGGTTATGGTGAGGCGAGGGGGTCTTCGGATTGAGGATTTGGCTGTAACACCTACAGACATTCCTGTCAGTATGCATTTCTTAGTACAGAAAGTATTGATCTGGTGTGTAGACATCTTTCCTACTCTAATTAATTCATAGAATCATAGAGTTGGAAGAGACCACAAGGGCCATCGAGTCCAACCCCCTGCCAAGCAGGAAACACCATCAGAGCACTCCTGACATATGGTTGTCAAGCCTCTGCTTAAAGACCTCCAAAGACGGAGACTCCACCACACTCCTTGGCAGCAAATTCCACTGGGTTCAAATTCAATAGGGTTCTGGAAGCTTCTCTGTATGAAAGAAACAAGCAGATGGTTTGTGGTGTTTGGGTTATTACTTCAGAGCAGCTGAGTACAGCTGGCTTAAACTGATTCTGTTATCTCTTTCCGTCAAGGTCATACTGACTATAATAGCAAGGCCAAAAGGAACCTGGGTCTTCACTTACTTTCTCTTTCTAGCTCTTTGTTCTGGTGTGATGTTTTGTTCTGCATATAGTGTTTTGGTTTAGTCTTCCTATAAGTTATTGTAAGTTTAAGTTAAGTCTGCTAGATTTCTTATGGACAGTGCCAATCCTGAATGTATTGGATTTGTGGCCATTACGCTCATTTGCCTTCAGTGGCAGTAAAGCTCTGCTGGATGAAATACAATGGCCTCTGGTCTATTGTTTGGGGATCCTGTAACGTGTTTTAAGTTTTTACTCTGCTAACTATACATTGAGTTCTGCTTTGGATCATAAGAGTAGAATTCCACGACAATTCCTTCATTTCATTGTCCATTTCTTACAAATTCTTGTTTGCTCCTTATATTGGTAACCTTATTTAGTTGCTAGTTAAAGAAGATATTCCTAGTGAGAAATGAATAACAGGTTATCTTTCTTTGTTTCCGGAGTTCTAACTTTAGTTTACCATCTTCGGCGATCACTCATAGCCGAGTAAGATTGTCTTCCATAAACACGGTTTTAACAATGAGTCCGTAAACGACTGTGGAGGCCAATTCAGGACCCACATGTCCTTCCACAGTGGGGACATCGGTTTCTGGGCGGGAGCTGATCACGGTGTGGAATTGCCAAGCGTGCCTTCCTCTTAGCACGTTTCTCCCTTGCGTTCTGAGTTTGAGTGTCTTCAAAGCCCATGACACCTTTGGTAAAGGCTGTTCTCCAACTGGAGCACTCGCAGGCCAGTGTTTCCCTGTTGTTGGTGTTTATACTACATTTTTTAAGATTATCTTGAGACAGTCTTTAAACCTCTTTTGTTGACCACCAGCATTACGCTTTCCATTTTTAAGTTCAGAATAGAGTAGTTGCTTTGGAAGACGATAATCAGGCATCTGCACAACATGACCAGTCCAACGAAGTTGATGTTGAAGAATCATTGCTTCAACACTGGTGATCTTTGCTTCTTCCAGTACACTGGCATTAGTTCGCCTGTCTTCCCAAGCGATGTGTAAAATTTTTCAGAGATGCCGTTTATGGAATCTTTTGAGGAGTTGGAGATGGCTTTTGTAAGTGGTCCATGTTTCACAAGCATGCAGTAAGGTTGGTAGTAAAATAGATTTGTAAACAAGCATTTGGGTTTCATTGCAAATGTCCTGGTCCTCAAACACTCTGCGCTTCAATTGGGAGAAAGCCGCACTCACAGAGCTCAGGCGATGCTGGATTTCGCCATCAATGTCTAACTTTATCTTACCATAATCAATGCAGGAACCATCCTTTTTATTACCATGCTGACCTTTACATATAAAGACTTCGGAAATCATAGAACCACAGAACTGTAGAGCTGGAAGGGACCCCAAGAGTAATCTAGTCCAACCTCCTGCAGTGCAGGAATAACAACCAAAGTATCCCTGGCCATCCAGCCTCTGGTCAAAAATGTCCAAGGAAAGAGGGTCTTGTCAATTTCTTCCAGGATTGCTCCTTCGTTCACTGAAGGATATATTTTACATCAAGTTTATGCCCTCCCCACTGATGCCATGAGCTACAATAACAAGCCATAGAAAAAGTTTCGAACTCCCCACCTATGGATATCAAACAGGTGCCTTCAACAGTATTCCTGTCCATGCCTGCTAAAAACATTCGTGTCTAGACAAACCTACCCAGGTGCTTAGAAATACTGGGGAGAATTTTAACCTGTTTTAGTATTTTATCTTTTTGTATGTTTTAAAGTATTGCTGCATTTTCATATTGTTTCACTTTATCTTTTTGTAAACCGCCTCGAGGTTTCCCCCCACGATCAAGCCATGCACAAATTTTATTAAAGAAAGAAATTAAAACTAAAAGTTCAGATTGGCACCTGCCATTACACCGCTGCACTTGCGTTTCCTCCTGGTCTGCTGGACGAAAACTTTCACTATGGTCTGTTTCCTTTCAGTGATTGCTCACCGCCGCTGGAATGTCCGCCCGAGGTCTGAGGGGGTGTCGACAGCAGCAGAGCAGAGGTGCCTTTTCCAAAGCTGACCTCGAAACCCCAGCCATGACATCGCTTGCCAAGATGCCCACATCTCTCTCGCTCCCTCCTTCCTTCCACTGGCTGATTGATTCTGCAGAGAACGTCTTTCTCACAGTTCGTTTGCACACAGACAGTCCTGCTCGTCCCAGGGTTGTGTTGAGCTGTGCCACTCTTGACCCCAAGGCTGTCCACTCCTCATTCCTGCCCGGGCAGCACAAGTGCCTTTAGGTGATGCTGCTGCAATACCTTATGAGTACTTAGCACCCACCAGGAGCAACAGCTGATCACAGGCAGATCACAGGTAGTGGTCTTCTGAGAAGGAACACGTGTTTCCCTGGTCAGCAGTGAATTTTACCTTGGCCCATCGGTGGGCCAAGGCACCGCCCATCGATTCTCCCCAATGGCTTGCTACCCCTCTCCTTTTATCTGGCAAGGGCTGGTGGCAGCCTTAAGGCAGCTGAGATTTGGCCTGTGCCATCCCTTCTGTCCAATTATTAGCTTAGGAATTTTGTAAGGTACTATTGTCATGAAACATGTTTGATGTGGAAAGCCGACTGTTTGCTACATGCACCCCCTCGGTTAATTTCTCTCCTGCCATGGGAACAGATGCACCCAGGAGGCTTGAAAAAATCAAGGAGGGTTGGCAAGACTAAACGTTATGCCCAGTTTTTTGTATGGGGGACTAGAAATTCAGGAGCGCAGTGCTGGGTCAGAGCAAAGGCCCAGCCTGTCTTCCAGCCAGATGTTTAGAAGAAGCGGGAGATCAATAGCCCCACCTGGATTCTGACTCATTTCAGAAATTCACGGCTGCCAGCCGGTGCCTTAGAGGGCATTAACAGAGAATTAGGCACATTGATTTCATTTCTGGATTGCTACCCATGACAGAACATCCCAAAGACATTAACTGTAGAAATAGATTTTTAAAAATAGTTACAGTCATACCTCTAGTAGCGTTAGGTTTACGTTGCGTTTTTTCTGGTTACGAATGTGGCAAACCCGGAAGCGTTTACTTCCGGGTTCGCCGATATGCGCAGGAGCGATCTGCGCGCTTTGCGCATGCGCAGGAGCGATTTGCAAACTTCGTGCATGCGCAGGAGTGCTCTATCACGTCATGCGCAGAAGCGGTGCTCTACTTACGGACTTTTCGGTGTGTGAGCGGCACACCGGAACAGATTGCGTCCGTAAGTAGAGATACCACTGTATACAGGTACAGACTGGGACATGGATACCCACTTAAAAGACTGGAGGGAGCAAAAAGGCAATAGAGGCAGTGCCTGTGAGCAATGAGGATGTCTTAATGTTGGCCTTTAGGCATGACACTCTTTACTGGTTGTTGGGGGGAAATCTAGAAGACGAGGGCTATTCCCTCCACATCTTGCTTGTGGGCTTCCCATTTGAGGCATCTGGTTGGCCACTGTGAGAACAGGAGTCATGGGCCTCATCCGGCAGCCAGGCTCTTTTGACACACTCAGTTTTTTTAGGGTCCCTCCAGCCTGGTGTTGTGGGCTTGCTTTTGCTTTTCTTCCACAGCAACTCCTTGACGCAGGATCAGTGCAATATTGCGGGTTGTCCCCAGATCAGTCCGCTTCATTAGTTGTTCTGAGACGCTTTCCCTGCGTTGCCGCATTATTGCTTTCTGGATGGACGCTCCTGCCCTGTAGCACGACGAAGGAGGGATGTTAGAAAAACCCTGCAAGATCAGTGGTATGAAAAGTTAGCAGGAAGTTGTGGGATCTGCACTAACTGGAAATTTGAGCTTAAGTTTCAGTCATGTCTGTTGCTGGTTGATTTCACTTTTTTTTTTACAAAAAATGACGATTTATTGATTTTCCAAAGATAACACACACAAAAATAAAAGCAACAACACTACAAAAGACAAAACGAAACAGAAGTAATTGACTTCCCTCTAGTCCCTTCCTTGGTTCCGTTACTTATCAATGTAGCGCATGTCTATTGTCCAGTTTGAAACCTGTTTAAATTACTCATTATCCATTCATAACAAAATTACATGTAATTTTAAAACCCTGCTAATGTATTAACCTGTGTGCAATGCTTCTCTATATATGCAATAAACATTTCCCATTCTTCTTTAAATTCATTTATGTCTCTTCCTCTTCGTTTCATTGTCAGTTTTGCCATTTCAGCATATTCCATTGTTTTAACTGCTGAGTTGCTGAGGTCTGTCACGCAACTGCGCTAACTCTGCGGATCCCTAAGTGTGCCAGTGTCAGTTGGCATCAGTCACTGTAATGTTCGGGCATGTGTCTCTGCCAGGGTCCTACTCGAGTGTAGGCTGAACTCCTGATGGGGGCTCTGTAGAGGGGGTGCCCCATCTCAGGCTGCAGATGAGCAGAAACGGGACAAATTCATGGTGGATCAAGCTATCAGCATCTCCTAGCCAAGACGTCTCTGCTCTGCCTCCATGGTTGCTTCCCAATCCCAGCTGCTGGAAGCCCCAGGAGCGGGGAGAGTTGCTCTTGTGCTCTGGTCATGCTTGCAAGATTCACATAATGGGCATCTGTTTGGCCCCTGTGAGAAGAAGATGCTGGACTAGATCAGCCACTGATTAAGAGAGCCAGTGTGGTGTAGTGGTTAAGAGCGGTAGACTCGCAATCTGGTGAACCAGGTTCGATTCCCCGCTCCTCCACATGCAGCTGCTGGGTGACCCTGGGCCAGTCACACTTCTCTGAAGTCTCTCAGCCCCTCTCACCTCACAGAGTATTTGTTGGGGAGGAAGGGGAAGGAGAACGTTAGCCGCTTTGAGACTCCTTCGGGTAGTGATAATGCGGGATATCAAATCCAAACTCTTCTTCTTCTTCTTCTTCTTCAGCAGGTCTGTTCTTCAGTTCCTATGTTTGAATGATTTTCAACCAGGCATAGGCAACCTCCGGCCCTCCAGGTGTTTTGGACTACAATTCCCATCATCCACGACCACTGGTCCTGTTAGCTAGGGATCATGGGAGTTGTAGGCCAAAACATCTGGAGGGCCGAAGGTTGCCTATGCCTGGTTTAAACCATGAACAGACTCTGCTCTTTTCTGGTACAGTGGTACCTCAGGCTAAATACTTAATTCGTTCTGGAGGTCCGTTCATAACCTGAAACTGTTCTTAACCTGAGGTACCACTTTAGCTAATGGGGCCTCCCGCTGCCGGAGCCCGATTTCTGTTCTCATCCTAAAGCAAAGTTCTTAACCCGAGGTACTATTTCTGGGTTAGCGGAGTCTGTAACTTGAAGCGTATGTAACCTGAGGTACCACTGTACTTATTTCTTTTTCTTGTGTTAAATATTTGAAGACTCCTATTCAAAAGAGACTTCTTCATGTCAGGCAGCAGGTGTCGCCCTTGGACAATATTGAATGTGGATCTACTTGCTGCAGCAAAGGCACAATTCAAAGAACTGTAGTGGCTTTGTGAATACTCCAGGTCCTGACAATGGTGTGTGGAAACGGGGAGCACCCACGTCCCACGAGAAAAAAACTTGAAGCTTACAACCCTCCCTCATTTATTATTTCATTTAAATCCCACCTTTTTCTCCAAGTGGGTTCTCCCCTCATTTAATCCCTGCAACAACCCTGTGAGGTAAGATGTAGAATTAAGATAAAAACAAAGAGGGAAAGGATTTGCTGAATTAACCATGTGAACTGGAATACAAAAAAGGGAGGTGTGAGGAGGTCAGGAAACAAGTAAATGAAATATAAGACATGGAAATACTGATTTGTTTTTAACTGTTTTTTTTACTTTTTACGTATTTTGTATTTTTTCTTTTGTATTTTTGTACCTTTTATTTTCTTTTTTCTTGTTACTTTTTTACTTGCTCTTTTTTAATTTTGTAACTCTTTTGTCTGTAAAATCTTAATAAATATTTTTTTTTAAAAAAAACCAACCACCCTGTGAGGTAGGTCAGGCTGAGGGACAGTGACTGGATCTCCAGGTCGCCCAGTCAGCTTCAAGGCCGAGGGGGGATTGCAGCCCTGGTCTCCTGGGTCACATTCTGACACTGCAGCCTCCATCCTGCACTGCTCAGCCAAAGGCACCTTCAGAGCTTCTGCTTAATGGAGCAGACGAGGACATTTGAGGCCTGGCCAGGGGATATGGACCCATTCCTCAGATGCCTGAACAAGGCTAGCGTTGAATCAGTCAATGTGATTCCTGCATTGCAGGGGGTTGGTCTAGATGTCCCTTGGGACCCCTCCACCTGCAATTCTATGAATGTGATAGCACTGCTCGACTGAAATTGCCAGGGGGCACTAAGCCCATTGTGCAAAGCTGCTTCTTGCCCCTACTCCTTGGGCAAGGGACGTGCTGCCTGTTAGGGCCAGCGCAATCTGCAAACCTTGCCTTCAGTTCCCCCACCCCCTGCTTTTGAAATAAAAAGCCTAAGATCAATTGCCAACTGGGGTGTGTGACTTTGACGGGGACCCAGGCCAACAGACCCAGCTGACATGAGTTCATGATGCATCCCGACTCGGCCTCAGCCTGCCTGGTTCTTTTCTCTTTTTCCAAATTGTTATTGATTTTCCAAATTTATAACAACATAAACAACAACACAACATTACAATATAACAAACAAACAAACAAACAAACAAACATTTATCCTAACCATTATAATCTCACTTATGTTACCATTGTTAGAATGACTTCCTCAAATCCCTCTAGCCGAGTTTCCATAGGAGTCATTGGTAGCAGTTTTTCCAATACTAATTTCTAATAAAATTAACCTAATCAATTAACATCTTCTTTCTTATCATATTTCACATATATCCATAATGTGTATGCAATTTAAAACCATTTAACTCCCTAGCCAATTTGGTACTCACAAATAGTACTACTTATATTATCTTAGAATATTTTACTAAATATTCCTTAAATTTCTTCCCTTCTTCTTGGTACTCCTCCTCCTTCTGTTCGCGGACTCTTCCGGTCAGGTCAGCCAGCTCCAAAAAGTCCATCATCTTCATCTGCCATTCATCCACTGTTGGTATTTCTTGTAATTTCCAATATTTGGCTAACAAAATTCTTGCTGCAGTTGTGGCATACAAAAACAGTCTAACATCTTTCTTGGGCAATTCCAAACCTGTTATTCCAAGTAGAAAGGCTTCTGGTTTTTTTAATAGAATGATCTGCACCTTGGCCTCCCTCTCCGAGACGTCCAGCGCGATGACCCCCAGGTCGAAACTGTGGGGCTTGAGGGCTCCGCTGCGGTTGAAAGCGTGGTTGGAGACGTACTGGGGGGCCTCGCTCGAGCCGCACTGCTTGGCCAAGACGGGCTGCCCCGACGGCCCGCTGGCGTTCCGGGGCCCGGGCGCGTGGTAGCTCCTGGGCGTGGGTCTCTCCGGAAGGAGCTTGGTCCTCTCCTCGGCCTTCATGACGCTGTTCTTGGAGGCCTTGCCCTCCGGCTTCCGATCCCCGGGCTGGGCCTTGCGGTCCCCCAGCGAGCCCGCCGAGTCCTTCGCGGGGGCGTCCGCCACGGCGACGTGGACCGAGCTCTGGTTGCTGCCCATCTCGTTGGCAGCCAGGCAGGTGTAGGTGCCTTCCTCCTTCTTGCTGAGGTGCGGGATGAGCAGCGTGCCGTTGGCGAAGGCCTGGAACCTCTCCCGGTCTCCTCTGGACCAGCCGTCGGAGGGCAGGGCGTTGCCTTCTCCTTCCGCCGCCGGCGCCTTGATCTCCAGGGTCTCGCCGGCGGCCTGGATCCTCCAGGTGACCTCGGGCTGCGGGAGGCCCAGGGCGTGGCAGTGCAGGGCCAGAGCCAAGCCGTAGGAGAGCCGGGTGCGGTCCAGGTTGGGGTGGTAGCTCAAGCGGACGCTAGGGGGCGCGCAGTGCAGGTAGGGCACCTTGGCCAAGGGGAGCCCCTTCCAGGGCTCCGGGGCGGCGCAGGTGATGGCGTTGCGGTCTGGGATGGAGATCAAGGTGTTCTCGGTCCAGTTCTTGAGCCACATGAGCTGGCAGCTGCAGTTGAAGGGGTTGTTGTAGATCTGCAGGTGGGACAGGGAGGTGAGCGCCTCGAAGGTCCCCTCGGCCACCTCGGAGAAGCGGTTGTTGTTGATGCGGAGGGAGCGCAGGTCCCGCAGGGTGCGGAACGCCTCTCCCGGCAGGTGGGACATCCGGTTGTTGTTCATCTTGAGGAGCTGGAGGGCGCTGAGGTTGCGCAGGTCTCCCCAGGGGAAGTCGGCGATCTGGTTGTGGCTGACGTCCAGGTTCTTCAGCTGCACCAGGATGGCCAGGGTGCCCTCCTCAATGGCCCCGATCCGGTTGTGCGCCAGCCACAGGGAGGTCACCTGCGTCACCTCCACAAAGGAGCCCCTGCGCAGCTCAGCGATCTTGTTGGCCGACAGACTCAGGGTGGTCACGTTCGACGGCAGCCCGGACGGCACCGCCTCCAGGTTCTTGTAGGCGCAGTCAGCGAACTGCTGGGCGTACTTGTCCACGCAGGCGCAGGGCTCCGGGCAGCCGCGGATCGGGGCCCACAGGAAGGTCGCCGCCAGCCAACAGCGTAGCAGCAGCAGCAGCGGGGACGCCCCCGACAGCATCTTAGCCCTGCAAGGGTGCGGGGAGAGAAAGCAGAGGACCACCGTCAGAGTTGGTCTACAGCACAGCCAGCAGGCGGTCTCCTACCTCCAAAAACATCCGCCGTCAGCCACCGACCGCGGCCACTCAACTACAAGTCCCATCACCCATGACCATTGGCCACGCGTGCTGGGGCTGGTGGCAGTGGGAGTCCTTAGGCGTCTCCTCCTATTTCTCCGTTTGCCAGCGTTAATCCATCTAGCCCAGTATTGTCGATACTGGCTGGTAGCAGCGGCTGTCCAGGATTTCAGGCAGGGAGCCTCTCCCAGCGCTACCTGGAGATGCCTTCTGCATGCGCAGCAGGGGCTCTGGCGCAGAGCCACGGGCCCCTCCCTCCTTTCCGCGCTCTCTCTGCCGAGGCCACCCTTTCCCGGGCGCTGGGAAGCAAAGCCCCTCGAGCTCTGCAATGCTGGTTCCCTCGCCAGAGCGTTCAGGGTGCCTCTGAGGCTGCAGCCCTAACCGTGGCTTCCCGTGGATTCAGCGGGGCTTGTACCCAGGATTGCAACCTTACTCTCTTTCTGTGGGGGGCAGGAAAGTCAGTAAATGAGAGAGGGGCTTCTCAGGAGAAAAGGAGCCCCCAGCCACTTTCCCGCTCGCTCTGTTTGACTGCCAGCGCCCAGAAAAATAAGGGGTTTCGAAATGATAGAGAGCAGGCTTGTCCTCTCTCTCTAGCCAGCCCCTCTCCTCTCCTGCCTCGCTCCTTCTCTTTCTCCGTCCAACTTGCAGATCAGCCCCGAGACGCCCCTTCTTCCTTGTCACCAGCTAGCCCCGCTTGTCCTCCAGGTGACACGGATCGACCCCCGTAGATCCCAGCGCAGACTTCTTCCGGTTTCTATCCCCGACGGCAGCCCCTCGACGTCACCCCACCCTCTACACAACCTAACCTCCATATGGAGATAAGAATATCAGAATAATGTAATCCTGTATTGCAGGGGGTGGACTAGATGACCCCTGGGGGTCCTTTCCAGTGGCCCATCCAGTCCAGCATCCTGTTCTTACATTGGCCCCCGGGTGCCCATTATGCGAAGCCCCCCAGCAGGATTCGAGCACAAGAGCCCTCTCCCCTCGCGGCGTTGCCAGCAACGGAAGCATCGCTGCCTCCGACTAGCGTGCTCATCGTGACTAGTAGACCTCCATAGCCCCCTCCTCTCCATGAATGGGTCCCATCCTCTTCTAAAGCCACGAGAGATGTCGAGATTCACACCTCCCCCCCCCGCCCCACCACACACCCAGCCACTCCTTTCGGGAGGTGCACGGCGGTTTATCTTTGTGTTCCCAGCCTGGCTCTGCTATGTCCCTTCCCAAGCCTTTACTCTGCGCTTTAGGAGAGCCTTCTGGTCTGCAAACCGGGGGAAGCAGCTTCAGCGCCCCCCCCAGCCCCCTCCCCTACAGTCCGCTGAGCCCCGACAGCGGACTCTGCCCTGCGCCAGCGAGCGAGCGAGCGCATCCTTCCTCGATCATCTCCCCGGATGCCGCTGCCTTGGGTACCAACATCCCATCTTCCCTGGGTTCCTTCGCGGGATGTAGGTCCCGTCTCTCACGCAAGCCCAAGCCGTGCCCGCCTCCCTTACCGTTGCATCCTGGGCTCTTAAGGGTCCCTTCTAGGGCGGCAGCATCACCAGGAGGGACCCCACGGCCGGACGAGTCCTGCGGAACTCCCGGCGCAGGACCGAAGGCGCCGCCATGGAGGCTCCCGTCCGGAGCGCGAAGAAAAGCGGCGGAGAGGCTCTCCCCGGCCCCGGAGATGCCTCCTAGTCCTGGGTCTGCCTGAAGGCGGCGGCGGCGCTGAGCTCGCCCCCTCCTCTCCCTTCCTCCCGCACCTCCTCAATTCCAACCCACTTAAAAAAAAAAATAAAAAAAATCACAATCTCTATTACTAGGAGAGGCCAAGCGCGCCCCCGAGGCGCCCGGGGATGCGCCTCGCTTATCCCACCTCCTTGGGTGGATGTAGAAATCGCAGCCTATGCCCACCCCCAAGTAAAGACCATGCAATATTTATCACGTCAATATGTCTCCAAGTCGCCCTCCTTCGCCCTCCGCCACTCCGCAGCAATCCAGCCGGCAGGTGGGCTGCTGCTGTTATGATTATTAATATTATTACTATTTAATCCGCCTTTGAGGCGCAAATTGGAAGCAAATAGCTGAGCAGAGAATTGTATCTGGGGATCCAGGAGGAGATCAGAACGGATAGAAGGCAGGAGCCGTCGAGATCCCTCTGATCCCCCGCCCCGACCTACTCTCATTGCCTCCTCTCTGCCCCCCCCCATTATTCCCGCTTCCTTTATTGATTAATATTTTTTATTGATTTAAGTACAAAGTGCAAATTCATAATAAAAACACGAAATAATCTCAGGCCCTCAGTAAAAACAACCTCCCTCACCCCCACGCGGCACAATAATTCACACGATCCTGATACTTGAGAGGAAAATCAGCTGTTGCAACAAGAAGCTTCGTGAAGGGTCCTGGTGCAAATCCTCCTCCTTTTTCTCCTCGCCACCTCCTCCTGAACTCAGTTCCAGCAAAATCTCCCAAGTGTTTAATTGCCAGAACTGGACCCCTGCGCCAGCCTCCATGGGAGAGATTCTGCACCCCCGCACACTAAAAGAATAAGTTTGACAGGCTGTTTTTCAGGTTGTACTTGATAATTTAAAGAAGGGAACGTGTTGCGGGGCAGAGTGCTGGAAATGACATTTGTCCTTGGGGGGGGGAGCATTTAGCCCAAGGGCCACATCTTATTGTGGCGACCCTTCTTGCACCAGCCTGTCGGGAACAAAAAGTGGGCAGAGCAAGGCAATGGACTCTGACCTCTCTGAACAGTAAGCAGGGCTGGCCCGAGGCATTCGGGAACCTGAGGCGAATTAGAAAATTGCGCCCGCAAGAATACTCGTTTGTTAAGTGTCCTACGCGCGCGCGCGCAAGAGACGCGCCTCTTTCTCATAGCAAAGGCCACGGCATAAATCGCACTTGCTGTTGCATATGGTGCTTCTGGCAGTTCAGAACGATACACAATTCAAGGAGAGGAAAGTAGGTGGTGCTGGCTGTGCCCCCCCAAAAAAATGCCTACCTTAGTTTTCTGTGCTTTGTGCAGGAGCAGCAACCGGGCCAGGGAGAAACCCGGCGCTTTTGAAAGTAACTCTGTCGAAAAGCCGGAGATTTGGTTGCAAGTGAGGGTGTCTCCAAAGGAGGAGAGAAGGGGAATCAGAAGGCCAAAGCGAGGCAATAAATGAAAACGAGGACTGAAGTTGGTGCACACTCTTACTTGTGTAAGTAAGCCTCATTGTTCTGAGTAAACACACCCGGGAATGGAAGTGAGAAATGCAAATTGCATTTCCTGATCGCAAAACCAGGAAGCAAAGCTGAGCACGAACGCCGGCGGTCGGGATGGGTGGGGGGCGGACTCTCAGAAAAACCACCTGCAAGGCTTTGCTCGATGGTCCCTCTCCGCCCTGTGGACGAGCAGGGTGCGGGGGACGCCAGGAAGTAACGCTGCGCTTGTTTGTCGGAAAGGGGCGGCAGCTGGAGGGGAAGCTGTAGCAGCTGCAGCCGCTGCTGGGGCAGACATAGCAGCAGCAGCAGCCGCCAGGGCTTGGCGAGGGCCACCCGGATCTGACCGCGCCCCGCGGATCCTGCCGCCCGAGGCAGTCGCTTCACCTCACCTCATGGGCGAGCCAGCCAGCCCTGGCAGTAAGCTATGGGCGCGCCGCGCAAAAGCCGGTGGTTTTCTATGGATGCGCTCTACAGAACCCACCTCTACAATCAGAATTGCAGAGTTGCAAGGCACCTCTTAGGATCATCTAGTCCAACCCCCTGTCATGCAAGAATCAATAATCCGGGACAGATGACCATGCAACTTCTGTTTAACCTCCTGTGCAGTCCATTCCCCTGTCGAGCAGCTTCTGGCAAGCGAGGCATCCTGGCAGTTCAAAGGCACCTTATAGCCAGGCGAGGGCGCTCAAGGAGAGGGCAGAACAGGGCTGGGGAGGGGGGGGTGGCATCGGAGGTGCAGAGCTGGGGTGAGTCCCGAGGCCTAGAGGTCAGCAGTCATGCATCCACCCACCCAGCCAGCAAGTGAAGGCAGCACAGGTCTTCTTCCTTACTCAATCAAAATAGATCACGGGTCGGCAACCTAAGGCCCATGGGCTACAAGTGGCCCACTGGGGTCGTTTAACCGGCCCATGAGCCACCCCCCAACAGAGCTGCCCGCTCAGTGAGTCCCCACGCACTGCGCTAAACCAGTGCAGCGCAGCGACTTGCTTCTGTGGTGCCGAAAATCATGCCTGCGCATGCGCAGTTGCTGAAAATCACATCTGCACAGGCGCAGACATTGGAAATCGCATCTGCACAGACACAGACGCCGGAAATTGCGGGCGCACACGTTCGCTTGCTCATGCACAATACTACCCACAGAGGGATATCCACTGGAGTGAACCGGCCCAGACAAGGTAAACTTTGCTGACCCCGGAAATAGACTCTTTCTGAAGGGCACTTTGCATGGCCCACTAAGGGAACCATTAGGTAAAGGTAAAGGTACCCCTGCCCGTACGGGCCAGTCTTGACCGACTCTAGGGTTGTGCGCCCATCTCACTCAAGAGGCCGGGGGCCAGCGCTGTCCGGAGACACTTCCGGGTCACGTGGCCAGCGTGACATCGCTGCTCTGGCAAGCCAGAGCCGCACACGGAAACGCCGTTTACCTTCCCGCTAGTAAGCGGTCCCTATTTATCTACTTGTACCCGGAGGTGCTTTCGAACTGCTAGGTTGGCAGGCACTGGGACTGAACAACGGGAGCGCACCCCGCCGCGGGGATTCGAACCGCCACCCTTTCGATCGGCAAGCCCTAGGCGCTGAGGCTTTTACCCACAGCGCCACCCGCATCCCAAGATAACCATTAATTGCAATTAATTTATTCACACTCCCTGTAAAACTGTTTATTTTAAGCAATTCAAAACAAATGATGAACTTGATCCGGTGGTAGTCAGCGAGTCATTTACACCTCCGCACATGCACACCCTGCCGCCCCAGGGTCTGTCGTGTACACCAGTCCACAGTTCTTTGAAGGTGGCCCATCGCTGGTTTATAACCCAGATCCCACTAGCTCAGATCTGGTTCCCCCTTATACTGGTGGGGTGGGAAGGTGCAAGGAACATACTCGCCTATGTGATGGGGATGTAACTGTGCTCAGAAGTTCTGGAACCACTTTGAATGCTGAGTTATGTCTTTTGTCCATTTTTGATGGTGCAAGTGCCAATCTTTTTTGTCAGCAATTCTATATCTGCTGACCACCACTAGGTTTGTGATCTCTCGAAGATGGATGGAGGCATCTTTCTACTCTTTGGACTTGTGATTTTAAAAAGTCATGTTTCTCACCATCTCTGAAAAATGGGTCCCCAGGGGGTGAGGCAGACCCCACAGACTTTGCTTCTGTTTGTGGGGCTGTTCATGATTAATATGACCCAACAACCTCATGGCCGACACGTTCTTGGTACATATGGTTTTATCTGGACCATCTAGAGGGGCTGGGAGCTGGGGGCACTGTCATACAGTGGTTCCGCTCCTTCCTCCTGGGCCGTGTCCAGAAAGTGGTGGTGGGGGATGAGTGTTCAGACCTCTGGGCTCTCACTTGTGGGGTGCCTCAGGGTTCTGTCCTCTCCCCCATGCTTTTTAATATCTATATGAAGCCGCTGGGAGAGATCATCAGGGGGTTTGGACTGGGTGTTCATCAGTATGCAGATGACACCCAGCTCTACCTCTCCTTTAAATCAGAACCATTGAAGGCGGTGAAGGTCCTGTGTGAGTGCCTGGAGGCGGTTGGAGGATGGATGGCGGCTAACAGATTGAGGTTGAATCCTGACAAGACAGAAGTACTGTTTTTGGGGGACAGGGAGCAGGTTGGTGTGGGGGATTCCCTTGTCTTGAACGGGGTAACTGTGCCCCTGAAGGACCAGGTGCGCAGCCTGGGAGTCATTTTGGACTCACAGCTGTCCATGGAGGTGCAGGTTAACTCTGTGTCCAGGGCAGCTGTCTACCAACTTCATCTGGTACGCAGGCTAAGACCCTACCTGCCTGCGAACTGTCTCGCCAGAGTGGTGCATGCTCTAGTTATCTCATGCTTGGGCTACCTTTGAAGGTGACCCGGAAACTGCAATTAATCCAGAATGCGGCAGCTAGACTGGTGACTGGGAGCGGCCGCCGGGACCACATAACACCGGTTCTGAGAGATCTGCATTGGCTCCCAGTACGTTTCCGAGCACGATTCAAAGTGTTGGTGCTGACCTTTAAAGCCCTAAACAGCCTCGGCCCAGTATACCTGAAGGAGCGTCTCCACCCCCATCGTTCAGCACTGAGATTCAGTGCCGAGGGCCTTCTGGCGGTTCCCTCCCTGCGAGAAGTGAGGCTACAGGGAACCAGACAGAGGGCCTTCTCGGTATTGGCGCCCGCCCTGTGGAACGCCCTCCCATCAGATGTAAAAGAGATAAATAATTACCTGACATTCAGAAGGCATCTTAAGGCAGCCCTGTTCAGGGAAGTTTTTAATATGTAACGCTGTACTGTTTTTAACACTGATTGGGAGCCGCCCAGAGTGGCTGGGGAAACTCAGCCAGATGGGCAGGGTATAAATTATTATTATTATTATTATTATTATTATTATTATTATTATTATTATTATTATTATCTGGTGGTGTTTATGAATAGATTTTACTTTACTATATTTACTTATTAAATTAATATGCTGCCCTTCATCAAGAGACCACATTACAACATAATGCAGCAAAACTGTACTGCAGATAAAATTGCAGACAAAAACATCAACCCCCAGTGAGCAAGGAACGTATGAAAAGGTTTAAACGATTAATTGTAGAACAATATTAAACCCAGTGGCGTAGCGTGGGGGGTGCCAGGGGTGCCAGCCGCACCGGGCGCAACTTCTGGGGGGGCGCGCTCGCTGCCTCCGGAGTCGCCGAAGAGCCTCGGGCGCAGGCTGTAGCTGGCAGCGGCTCTCAGCGCTCGCCGCGGTCCCCGCGCGTCAGGGCCACGGAGGGCGCGCCAGGCAGCCCCTCCTCACCGACGGGCAGCGTTCGCCTGCGGGGCTCGGCCAGCGCGCTTGGCTGGCCGCGTGGAGTCGCCGAGGAGCCGCCGCCGCCTGCCATGCCGCCCTGGCTGCTTCAACCGCGTCCGACAGCCGGCTCGAGGCTCCTTCCGGCCGG